CACCATTAATTCCTCCTTAATTCATGTTACTTAACCATTACTTCTTTTTGTGCCTCGCCAAGTAAAGTGACGATCTTCACTGCTAATATACTAATTATACTACAGACTCATGATTGAGGGAAGCGTAAACACACTTCAGTGTGAATCAAAGAGGAAACTTGAGTAGACATATTGGTCAGGCCTAAAACACAGGCTGCCTTTAAAGGCGTAAGAATGAAATATATCGCTGTTGTCAGAAGAAAACCTTGTATCTCCATTTTTCTCCTTTTTAGTTTTTGACATAATTTGAAAATGCCTGTTGCCCTTTGCCTTGTGTGTAAATTTCATGACGAATGGACTAAAAGAAACGGCCAAAGGACTGAAAAAAATTCTGGTTCCATTGACGTACATTAAAAGTAAAGTAGGTTTTTTCCTTTTCCTGTCAAGTTATCATTTTGGACATACGAGGTTTTCTTCCGACAACAGCGTTTTATATGTATGAAATGCACATATCGACAATATCTGTCACACTATTATCTTTTTATTTTAAATTTTAAGGTGCCAATCTTGGATCCTTAAACAACCTGCCATTGGATGAAATGTGGGAGCATGAAGGACTTAACAGACGAAATGTTAATTGATAATGTGTGTTAAATTAAGACATCAGTGAAATTAGGATGTCAGTAACTACTCAAGTCTTAATCATGAATTCATAGTGTAAGTAGTAACGAGAAAAATCACTTTACTAGGAAGGACACAGTGGCAATTAATTACTTAAATCAGTAGATCAATGAACAGATAATTAATGGGATTAAGTCATAAATTACTTATTTACATGAATAAACACACTTATTAGTCCATAAGCAGTGTAATTAGTGGCAATTAGTACACCAGTAATGAGTAATAAAGCTGTGAACTAAGGACAAACAAAACTATTAGTTAACAATACACTTAATTACTAAATTGCTATAAATAATGAGTATTTAATTGCTTATTAGCATATAGTTATCGATTAATTTGCAACCCTTAATGTAGTATTACCGTATATTTTAATACAAATTGGTGAATTAACCCATGCAGTTCTATTAGTCAACCCACAGTCAATTTTTTTGTCCTAATCCAGCTACCAAAATGCCTCAGCTACATAATTGGTCTACATCAAACATCATGCAAAGGTCTACTGGAAGCTGAAACACAAAATCAGTGGTGCTCTGATGGTCCTCGGGTGTATATTGGGAAAGTCTGAGGTAAAGAATCTATGCTATATTACCCTTCTAAACAGCAAGGGCTTTTTAAATGCTTCGGGTAAAAAAGAGACCTGTTCTGGAGGTGTATCCGTTTGCAACAGCTGAACATCAGCTGTAGCCTAGTTTGTAAACTGCCTCTGTATTGAAGTTGATGTACTAAAATGCTTAAATGCTTAAACAGTTGCACAGAGTTATAACAAAGTTTACGCCCACCCATTACTAGGTGCAAAGCCCACTGTAAAAAACTTTATTGTGAAGTGAATTTGGATTTGGTCATTCCTCTACTCTTTGAAAAAGCAAAGGTATTTATTTTCGATTAATGCATGAAATCTAGTTTGTGTGGTCATGCAAGCCATATGCGGGACATATGGGATTCAAGAAGCGTCCTTATTTAGGTGGATTATGGCTTGGGGAAAGTGCAGGTGGAAATTAGTCCAAATAAGTAGTTTGCTACCTGGTGCCTCCAGTGCACAAGTAACATAGTTTAGATCCATTTTAAATGGCACTCATTTTCGGATCAGGTTACATGACTTTTTGTAGCATGTCATGCTTTCTCGCTTTCATCGATTTCTTGTTTCTGAATATTCAGCATTTAGCAGGACTTCACAAATTCAGGCTCCTTCAAGCACTGCTGGTCCAGTTCTGCACTCACATAATAGAACTGATCATCACGTCCTCCGTCTCCATCTGCTTCAGCTCCAGAATTTCACACACAGTGTAAACAACAGTGCATTGTGTAATGTTCAGAGAAAATCATTGGCTGCTGGCCTTCCACCCTCGGAAGACCTGTATGCATTTTCTTTGCCAGTGGAGACAGTAAGAGCTGTAAGGACCATCACCATCCTTGCATCTTTATACCCTTCATGTGAACTTCCATGCACACATTACAGTATACATAGCATAACCACTTGTTATCCCAAGCCATAATTCTTCTAAATAAAGACCCCTTTCCTGTTTTGTTATCTGTTGCACATATGCAGTTTTAAAGGAATATATTTATTTGTACATTTGTATATTCATAAACGTCAGCATATATTTTGAAATACCACTGTCTGCCGTACAGTCATGAATAAGTCGTTCATTAAGGAGATGAATGGAGGCTATTTACTAGACTGACATTTTGCAAAATTACTGTCCATTTAAGGATTTGTTTTGTTCAAACGCCTTACATGACAGTTTACCCTGAGGTTGCAGAGGTATATGACTACAGAGCTAGATCATGAAGCCAACTAGCACAGTTAATGCCACTGAAGTTTTATGTCTGATAATTCACTGAAGCTTTTAAGGAAAGCTGTGCACCCAAGAGTGCTGTTATTTAGGCTTAGGCTTAATAAGACATGATCTCATTCCCACACCTTACTCTGGAGCCCTGCTGGTGACATCCCATGTAAATGAAAATAACACGTGGCCATGCCGTTTTAACGCGTGGGAACAAGATCCTAATGCGTGGCCACGACTTAGTAAAGCATGGGAACAAGATAATTAAATTGTGGACACGAGATCATGTCTTATTAAGCTGTGGTCAAGGCTTAATTATCTCATTCCCTCGTCCTAAGGTGTGGCCTCGCATTAGGATCGCGTTCCCACATGTTAATATGATGCGGCCACATATTATTTTTATGTATACGCAATGTCACCAGGAGGGTTCGATAAACTAGAGATGGCATGATACCACATTTTCTTTTCTGATACTGATAACGATATTGAAACCTTGAGTATCTGCTAATATATGTACCTTTGTATATAAGCTTTGACAACTTCTACGCTTTAAAATGAGCTATTCTGAATTACAGAGCATCTAAAAATATCTATCATGCTCAAACTACTGAAACTCTACAACTCCACCAGAAGAAATACAAAGTTAATAACATTACATCACACAGTGTGTGCTATTTCAAGCTAGATTTGCTACAGGATTGGATCAATCAACTTTTCACTCCAATATCATTTTCTACTTATATCGGCCTAATTCTGACACCTCTTATTGGATCGATAGCACCTCCAAGTATAATAATACTTTTTTTTATTTTAACCAAATAACAGTAATTGCAATCCAAATTGTATTTTAACCTTAGATGATCACTAGAAAGATAAATATGTATAAGGTTTAAATATGAAATGAATGATGCTGTCCTCAATTTATTTGCCGCCATTTTTGAACATTTAGTCTTTAAAAAAATATAATCTTATTTGAACCCATGATATACGCTAAAGTTTGGGATCACTGTTTGCATTCATATAAAACCAATTTTGTTGCAGGTACATGTATAAAATGATTCTATGCCAGTACTCCAACTTTAGAGGTTTCAAATCATAGTACGAAGCTGTAAAATGTTGATAACCAAACTAGAATAAAATGAATATCCAAAAAACTTTGGATTTCAAAAGTGTTAATCAAATTTCAAGATAGATAACATTTCAAGACATTACTATTAATAAATACAATATATTATGTATAATTTAATAATCTGGCGTTCGCAGAAAAAACATGAAATATTAAATAAAACAACTTAAAATACATTTTCGGTGTCTACACCAGATATCAAAATTGTAACAAAAGAAGAACCTTTTTTGATGCTATATGTAGAACCATATGCAACACATTCTCCATCAATCTGAAGAATCATTTCACCATGCAAAGAACCATTTAATCATGAAATGGTTCTATACAGAACTCATGACTCTAAAGAGAACATTCCCTTTAATAAAGAACCCTAATTTTAAGTGTGTATTTTATTTCAATCTACAATGCATATTATCAAATAAATTAATATCAACTGAAAACATGAGAACTTTTGAACGGCAGTGAAGTTAATTGTACATAGTTATTCTAATAATATGGTGCAACATTTTTCCTTTGCGTTTACCAAAATTAGGGAATCTGATATCACGTTGTATTTGTGAGCAAGTTCCACTAGGAAACAAATGAGGCATCACCGGCATTCGCCATTTTGAGGGGCAGGGTCGACGGAGACCTCAGAGGGGGAAACAGCGGCAGCGTGTTGGTAAAATGGCTTCATAGCGGTGGCACTGGGCTTTCCTCTCACATCTTCAGATATACTCTGCTGAAGCCATTCCCCTCATAGTCCCTCAAGCTGGTTTAACGGTTTGAAACACTAGCTTGCATATACGAGAAACAGCTGAACCGGGGGTCTATATATGTGGACCACTCGACACACACAGAGAAAAACACTCTGCCTTGTCCATCTCACACTGCCCTTCTGGCTTCATTTTAAAAATGTGTCCAGGTGATTCGAGACATGACTAAACGACACTGAAGCTATTTTAAACAGGGTTCGTAAGGACTTTGTCCACTTTTGTTTATTTATTCTGTTTCTAAGACATTTATCGACTAAGCCTGCTCCATGACAATACTGAGAATAGACAGGCTACCACGAAACTGGAGTGAGCTGCTTATTCGCAGCCTTCTTGTTAGAGTTTTCCCGTTCCACCTTAAAATGGTACAGCAGTTACGAGCACCAGAATGTAACCGCTGCGCCATTTAAGGTGGAACGGGAAAACTCGAACAACAGTCTGGCGAATATGAAGCCGACGTCAGGGTACCGCGGCTTCTGTGTACATTTGAGCCTGTTTATTTCACATAGCCCCCCTGTATATAATCCTATTTATTCGATATATTATCTTTTAATATGTGTTCTGCCAATAACTTCAAATAAAACGTCCTCAGCTGCGCTTTTAATCCGATTTGACGAGCTACTTGTTTGTTAGCTTCTGCGAGCTAAACACGTCGGACACTTTACGTTGCGACACTGGCCGGAACTGTGTCACTGGCCGGAAACGACCACTGTGAAAGCGAACCTAAGCACCCACAGGAAGACGGGGACACTAAAAAAATGACACGGGGCGGAAAATAATTCGGCCAATAATACCGTTTAAAACAGGGGAGAGTTGGTGCGGAGGACGGTTTGGGCGAAGTTAGGGAGTTAAGCGACGAGGAGCTGGTCTCTGGGTGACCGTTAGGCAACGAACCGAGCGGAAACTGGGTTTGGTTAACGGGGCGACAACAGAGCCGCCGTCGGGCCAATGGAGAGGCCTTCGACACTGTTTTTCGACGGGATGAGGAGGAAAAATGACCTGCTAACCTGAAATCGGAAACCGCCTTTGTGTACACGCACATTTCGGCGCCTTTTTGTCTTCGCACAAGTTATTTCATGTCGTACTTTCAGAGCGGACTTGTCTGCACATAAAACTTGTGTGTTTCGGTTGAACGCTGCAGCGATGAAAGCGGAGCACGGTCTTTATTTGGCTAGCTAGATAGATAGCTTGCTGGTTAGCGAGCGAACCAAGTGGGCGCCCATGTTCACTTGACGGACTGTCTGGCTGGCAAAAAATCACTTTTTTCTTATCGCCTAAGTACGTTTTTCAAAAATCATTTCTTTGGACGCCGCCTCCCCCCAACCACCACCTCCTCCCCCCCACCACCCACCCCGCATAGCACACATACACGATACTTTAACGTTTTTTAAAGGCGAAATGAATGAAATTTTAACTTTTTAAAAATCCCGCTTGAGTTATTAATGTTGTTTTTAAACGCATTTGTGCGCTTTCGAGGGATGTGAAAGGCTCTTCCTTCCCTCGTTGCCTTCCGCACTGAGAAATTTCTCGTTGGAGTTGGAGTACAGAGATTCAACACTTCAGCCCTCGGTGAGTTTTGTGATAAGTGTGTTAAACATGATCAAAACAAAGAAATACATCAGCAGACACTTTGCTTAGTACAAAAGGCAACTGACTACTTAATTGTAACGTCTAATTCTTAGTATATTTAAATCTGTATGAATGTCTTCTCATCAGCATGTCATATCCTCAGCCCTCTTAGTTTGGGCATGACATGCAGCTTTAGTAGACTCGTGAACAGTACACTTCTTTGGAATATATTTCACATTTTATTTGTATTTTGAACATAGATCAGAAAGTATTTAATGTAGTAGTACAGTATGGCAGCGTCTAATGAGGGCTAGTGAAAAATAGATGCTGGTCGTCTGTATTGATACAGTTCTTTATATTTTCAGAGGCTGTTTGTCAGTAAATTACCACAGCATAGCACATATTTATAATAGTATCATATGTGTGATGGTTCACTTTATTTAATGATATATATACAGTGTTACTGTTAATAGTACTGTTAGTACTATTATCATTTAGTTATCTGTTTGCTTGTTTATTTATTTATTTATTATAGGTCTGTCTTTAGTGGTAGGGAACTAGTAACCCAGTTTTCATGACATGCTCAAGTTCAAGTTGTAATACCATGTGCAGAGCTAGGGTTGGACGATATATATGAACTATACTGGAACACCATGATAATCACTTACTGTGAAATTGCCTTTCAGTTGTAGCACTATTTTTAGCATTATACTTGATAGATAAGGAGAATTAAATCCATAATATAATGCCCAAAAATAGCACCATCTCTATTTTCACTCTTTTTAAAAATATATTTTTTTATATTTTAATTCTGTTTTGTGCCCACCTGGTGGAGATATTCATGCATGATATTCACATTTATGGTGGTCATATTCTGGACCTGCAAAGTTCAAAATAATAAAAATGGAAATAAAAAGTAAGTTTGCTTTCTGGAAATTCACTTTCCTTCTCATTAACATTTACAGTATTGTGTAATGTTCCTTTTGTTGTCATTTTAAGAGAACAAAAAGGAACAAAACAAGGTCAGTTAAAAATAATCTGTTTTTTTAGCGTCTAGTAGCAGTCAAGAAGCAATCGAGAAGAATGGGTTCATTAACTTTATTAATGCAAATTAAAAAATTTGTCTGATGTTGTGATATATTCAGTATTTTGATTCTGAATTTTACCAGTTTTGCTCAGCCCTATGTAGGGGGGTTGTTCATATGTTGTACGTCAATCAGAGAACAGCATAAATTAGCAGAAAATAGACAGAAACAGTGGACTTTTACAACTGCATTAGTTTGCTGATAAGTGTTTGTGTTTCATTCTTGAATTCTCTTCAGTGCTTTTTGTCTTGCCAGCTTGTTGTTGTTGTTGTTAACATGTTTTCATACAGAAATACACTTGGCTAAACTGTTTTTCTGTTCATCTCTCTTTAAAATTAAGGTGAGGCTGCAGATGGCAGACAGAAAGAAGAACTTGGTCATATCACTTTTCTGTGCTCCTGGTCTTCCAGCCTGGACTTACAGAATTTAGATCCATCCAGTGGACAGTCTTACCTTTTACCTTATCACTTTGAATTGAACAGAATTGGAAAGACAACATTTTAAGGAACACACAAATGGGGACCATTTCTGTGAATGCCTGTGACATAAATAAGTAAGAGAACATTCCCTCACCGGTAAGATTTTAGATTATTATGAGCAGCAAATAATAAATGTATTGTTTTTATGCTCGTTAAATGTACTTTTAGATAATTATTTAATCTTAGCCTTCCTATATTTTACTGAAATAAGGGTGGGCTACATTTATCAAAATGTTGTTTGCTTAACTGAGACAGAAAGTCCGAGCATCAAACGTGTGTATATATATATATATGTGTGTGTGTATGTGTATATATATATATATATATATATATATATATATATATATATATATATATATGTGTGTGTGTGTGTGTGTGTGTGTGTGTGTGTGTGTGTGTGTGTGTGTGTGTGTGTGTGTATATATATATATATATGTGTGTGTGTGTGTGTGTGTGTATATATATATATATATATATATATATATATATATATATATATATATATTCGTACACTATAGTTTGTAGCAGAGTATTGGGTTTTTCTGAGTTTTAGTTGAAAGTCACTGATTAGTTTAAAAAAACTGATGCATTACGGTTAATTAAGTAGTGGTGTCCTTTTTACTGCAGCAGAAAAGGAACGGGAAGGAACCAGAGGAACACCCCTCAACAGTGAGAGGGAAATGTTCCAGTTTGGAAAGTACCCTATGGACATTTTAGAAATGCTTAGTGGACACCAGGCTCACCAGTTCAAAGGCCTGGGGCTGGAAAGGCAGCTGCAGCACCAACAGCAGGTTCAACTTCAACACCAGCAGCAGCTTCAGCAACAACAGCAACAACAGGGTGAGGCCTCTGGCACACTCCTTTCTGGACTGGGCTTAGGCTCTCTTCAAGGATCGAGAAGTAATGCATTTTCAGATTCTTCATCTATCTTTGCCAAAATGAGTGCACCACCCCCACCTATCCCACAGCAAACTCAGTCCTCTTCGTCACAAAGCTCACGCAAGTCTAGCAAGATGAGCAGCAGCAGCAGCAGTGGCAGTGCGAGTGGGACTTCAGCTTCTGGCTATCCACAATTCTTACGTCCCTTTCATCCTGCAGAGGCTGCTCTAGCGCAGGAGCAACTTCACTCAGGGATGGGACGATTTGATTTCGCAGGAGGAGGTAGTAGTGGTGGTTCTGGAGTACTTGGAGGAGTTGTAACATCTGCTCCTCCCCCACCACCCTTGCACCCTGGCCTCTCTGTGCCTCAGCCATCCCCTGGACCATCTTCTTCATCGCCTTCTCCCTCTAGTTCAACCACCACATCCAATAACCCGCCTAGCAGTAGCAGTACAGTGGCTGGACTGGTTGGAGCCCAGTCTGATGCTCGAAGTTTACACCAGCAATTTAGTTGCATGCTTGCAGCCAACCAGTACTTCCTGTCTGGAGTACCTGCCAATGCCAGCTTGGAACAGTTTCTAGTTCAGCAGGGCCCCCATAACCATCTTGGTCTTTCAGACTCAAACACAGGTCTTGCTCCTCCCCCAGCTCTTCACCCATCTCACACGCATGGTCACCCAGCCCCTCAGCCTCAGCAGCAGCAGCAACAGCTACCACCTCATGCCTTGTCTCACCCCCACAGCCATGCCCACCCACACCACCCTCTTCACCCTGCACCCCAGCCATCACCTCTTGGTGGGTTTGATTTTCAAGGTATCCCTGTTCTTTCCTCCAATCAGCTAGCTTCTCTAATGCAACAGGAAGCTGGTCTTCCTCTCCCACTCCCACTTCATCTTTCTGTCCCAAAGGATGATGGGAAGGGGGATGGTGGATCTGGGGCTGGAGGAAGCGGAGGTAGCGGCAGCAGGAGAAAGAAAGCAATGGCTGGTTACCTCCCCCAGAGGAAGACCGACGGTAGCAGTAGCAGTAGTGGAAGCAGTGCTAACTGCCACAGCAGCTCTGGTGCACATAGTCATGATGGGTCTTCTGGCCTTGTTGGAGGAGGTGGAGGGGTTGGCATGAGGGGTCTTGGTGGTGACCCCTCCTCCATCCTCTCCTCTTCAACACCATCCTCCTCCTCTTCTTCAACTGTCTCTTCCTCCTCTTCCTCTGCCCCGTCCTCAAACTCTGCCTCTGTTTTAGTAACAAATGTTTCACAGATGCCCAAAACTGATAATCAATCCGCCATGACTCCTACTGTTACACAGCCTGAGCCAGAGCCTCTTTATCACTGTAGAGAATGTGGCAAAACATTCACACACCTCCCCAGTCTCCGTAGACACATACGCAGCCATGAAGGAGAAGTTAATGATCCCAATAGCAGTGCTAACCCAAACCCTAATACAAGCCACCAGCATCAGTCAGATACAAGTCTCCCTCACTCAACTCAGGATGGCATACCTCACCAAAATGCCCATCATCAACATGAGCAGAATCAGCAACAGTCCAACCCAGACCTCGCTTCTTCCTCATGCCCAAGTCCAGACAAGTCTTACTGTTGCGATGAATGCGGTAAAGGTTTCAAGAAAAGAGGACATCTCCTTCAGCATGGTGTTATCCATTCTGGAGCACGTCCATATGCTTGTTCTACCTGTGAGAGATCTTTTAACCGTCGTGAATCTCTCACTCGACATGAGAAAATTCATGAAGATAAGCCTTACCGCTGTCCGGCTTGTGGCCGCTGCTTTAGAGAGAGCACTTCTTTGCTTAACCATGCTGCCTCTGGCTCATGTGACAAACCAGGAAGGGGTTCAAGATCTAGAAGCAGTGATGGCAGCAGCTCAGTGAGTTCAGAAGGCAAGGTGGAAAGTGATTTCCAAGGTCTAGGAGATGAAAAAGGTTTGGGATATGAGAAAACTGAGGGAAGTGGAGCAGAAATGTCCTGTGATGCCCTGTATCAACAGGAAAGAGGAAATCCCAACACTGGTATCAAAACAGAGGGCAAATATAATTCAGCATATTCAAGAGATCTCTACCAAACATCCTACAGGGTTGATGACTATCGTCGGCCACAGGGTAATCCGACATCATATTCTGGAGATGGCTCTTGTAGTAACAACATGTCAGGCCCTGCCCTCAGAAAAGCTCCCTTGGCTCCAACACTTCACCCACACCCTGCAAATCAGCAACAACATCACCACCACCAACAGCAGCCTCATCTTCCACTCTCTTCTCTCTTAGATGACTCTGAAGATGAAGTCACTAGTAGTGCCATGTCTGCAATCGCTGCAGCTGCTGCTGCCTCTGTCTTGCCTGCTGAAATGAACACCAGTGGAGGACGAGAGGAACGAAGGGACATAATAGGGGGGTTGTTAGGAGGGCTTGGATTTGGGTCTATGAGTGGCCCATCATCGACTTCTGCAGGAAATGGAGGGAACGAAGAGTGCTTGAATGGATCCATGATGCCCTTGTCTCATCCTGCTCAGCAGCAGCAGCAGCAGCAGCAGCAGCAGCCTAATTCACAAAATGCCACATCAGATGCCAAACCGAAGCGGCCACGTAAGCCTAGACAAAAAAGGGAACCAAGACCTGGTGGTATCCCTGGAGAGGGTGTGAAACGTCGGAGAAATAACCAGAATGGGGCTCGTGGGGATGGCTCTGAACGGCCTTATTTATGCACTGTTTGTGGACGCGGCTTTGGCAGACGTGAAACCCTGCGCAGGCATGAACGTGTTCATACAGGGGAGAAACCATTCCATTGTGATGTCTGTGGCAAAGATTTTCGAGAACCTTTCCATCTCACTAAACATCAGACTGTTCATTCAGGGGAGAAGAACTACAAATGTTCCCTTTGTGGAAAAGATTTTGGCTATGCGCAAAGTCTGAAAAGACATGAAAAGCTGCACCTAAGAGGGGATTTCAAGCCAAGAAGGAGTAAAACTAAGTCTTCTGCAAACCGTGGAACAGCCAATCAAGAAAGCAGTCAAACAAACACTGGTTCTTATTACCCTTATCCTCAGGATAAAGCTCAAGAATCTAGTGCTAGCACATCAAACCAGCCTCCTCCTAGGCTGTACACATGTGAAATTTGTTGGAAGTCTTTTCGCCATCACTTCCACTTGACTGCCCATCACCAAGCTATCCATGAGCATGGGGGGGAGAAACTTTTCTCATGCGAGGTTTGCGGGAAAGCCTTTGCTTACTCCAACAGCCTCACAAGACATAGATTATCACAGCATGGGTTGGCACGCGCTGGACCAGCCACCCAAACAACAGGAAGTGGATCGAGTGGAAATACTACATCCCTAACCGAAAGTGAAGCTGCCACCAATGCTCTACTTCATCTGACTCCGGACAGCGGAGGCCATGGTGTACAGCAAACACATTCGACTATCTCCCATACACAGCATCTTCACTCTCAACCTGCCGGCTATTCTCCTCTATTCTACACACCAGAATCAGCTCATAATACAAATACCAGTGCCCCTTCACACTCCCAACACCCACACTACTCGCATCCTACTGTAGGGCCCCTCCCCCATCAACAGCCAGTAACTGGGAAGGGGCAGCAAATTTATTCAGGGGTTACGGGAAACCCCATTCATTCTGCGCCTCCTCATGTCCATATTTCTTCCTCTTCACTGTCTCAACACCAGCAGCAGCAGCAGCAACAGCAGCCGCAACAACAGTCCTCTTTTGAGATGCTGCCACCGCATTTGCAACATCCAGTTGTTCCAATGCCTGATGTTGCCCAGAAAAAGAGAAAAAAATTAGATTAGTCAGTGGGGGGCAGCTGGTGAGGGAGTTCACCGATTTTGAAAATGCTCAAAGGCATAGATTTTTAAAAAGAAAGAAACGTAGGCTTCAGCATCAGCTTAAAGTGAAAAAGTGGATAGCCCAGCTTAAATGGGCCAAATATACTGGAGGAATTGCAATTAATGTAGGGGGCGGTACATGGCGGGTTGGCCGGTTACGGTTCAGAGGTCTTAGATCTTTGATAATCCCCCTAAGGTCATTTCCGTGTCCTATTTGTCCCTCCACCACTTTTACACGACGGATAACCCTTTCAGTCCACCGTGTGACAAGACACCCCCCAAGGAAACATGGCTGTCGAGCTCGTCTGCGGTGCATTGTCTGTGGCAAACGTTCTCGAAGGCTTCTGTCAGCTCTCCGCCATCGGGCTCGGCATCTTTCGCAAGGGTCATTCTCTTGCCCCCGTTGCCCCTCACGATTCTGGAATGGCACCCTACTACAGCGGCACGTATTTGCTTGCCGACGTGTTGGTGTAGGACGAAAAACATCACCAAAGGGAGCTTATTCCCAGAAAGGAGAGGATCATTTTGCAAGAGCAGGTGGCATTGCAGTATACAGGCACTAAATATTTTCATCCTAAAGAAAATATGACCTTTCAAACTGATGAATTTTGAGAGCCAGAGAGAAACTTGTGAAAGGCATAGTGGAAAAATCTGCTTTGAATCCACTACATATTCACAGACACCTACACCCATTATGCACATGGTCTCTGGCTTCAGCCAAGGGAGTGCCTCTTATAATAAATGACTTGGTTAACTGAACATTAAGCCTGTACCTAAAAGAAAAATGAGCAGAAAAATAAAAATTAAAAAAAAAAATCCATTAAAGACATGGATCTCTAACATGGTTTCTCCAAAGGGGAAGAATATTTTAGATTATGAGACTGTTTTGGTAGCACCTTTGTTGTTATGGTAGCATCTCTATCCTCTAAAAATGCATTCATTATGTATTTTCGTAACTTTTTTGTGCTGCGATAATGGATGCGAACCAGTAAGAGTGAACTAATCTGAACAGTAACAATTTTTCTCTGACTTAGTTTCCCCCCTTATTACTCAGAGTTCGACAGTATAGTCTTTCATTATTCTCAAATATATGTAGCTTTATGTTCCTTGTGGACGTGTGTTTTTATTGTCATCCCCCCTCTCCCCTCTTTCTTATTTTGGTCTTGTTTATACAATTATACAAATGCTTGCCCTGGAACTTCATGTTGCTGTTTGGGAAACTGTTAAAGAACATAACTGTGTATTCTCTAAGGACAACACTTACTAAGACACTTAAGTTTTAAATCTTGACTATGCGAAACTAATGAGTTTAGTGAACCCTCAAAACCTTCAAATCACGAAATTTGCTGCAGAACTGATGGGGAGGGGACAGTATAGCGCAATAGATGCCATGTTCCGTGTGTTTAATGTCTTGGTTTAAATATGTAATTTTGTAGGTATTTCTATGACAAGTGTTATATCTTTGGTTCAGATGGATTGGCATAAGAGTGGAGAAACCAGTCCGTACTGTAAAATGCGTATTATATTTTATTATGTATCAGTCATTTTTGTTTGTTTTTTTATTCTTCCAGTTTTTTTTTAATGATTTGTACTTTGTGGGAGGGTGTGTGTATGTTGTAAGATGAGGGGAATATATGTATCAATGTGATTCTTTTCTTTGTTTCTACCCCCTTTTGCTCTGTCTAACCTTGACCAGTTTAGCACAGTTCCCCAACACTATTGTATACAGTTCAGTACTTTACTTAGCTCCTCTGTCCCAATGTTTTAATCTCAGTAAACTAAAATATGAAATATAAATACTAAACTATTCTTTTCTTTTTCCTGCGTCAACAAAAATGGTGAGTCTCGCAGAAAACCAATAAAAAGTTGAAAATGTCATCAAAGTAGTTTGATATTATTTTTAGGATTAAAATCTCCGGTCTACGACAAACAGGCCTGGAATCAAAATCGAGGTGGCAAGTGCCTCTTTTCAGTATAAAGGTTAAATAATTTATAAATTTCAAATGAGGGGACTGATCAGGTGTTGTGCACCTGGTGCTGTGGAGCTCTGCCTTGCCTGTCTCAGGCTGTTTACCACTCACATGTGCTGGCACATGCCCTCTGCAGTGCCATACTCAGCGGCAGAATGCCTGCAGGGATGGAAGCACAGAACCGTCTGTTTGTTCAGTTTCTCTCTTGGTCCACCACAATGAAAAAATAAGAATTTAAAGTGCGCATATCATGAAAAACCTAATTTTCCTTGCTTCTTTTAAACATATTTGAATAGTAACATGTAGGTGTTGTGAAACATCATTTACTAACCAGTCCATACAGTCCATATATCAAAACTAAGCTGCAAAAACAAAGCATCTGGAATTCATTGTTTTTGTGAACTCCCCTGCATATATCCACCTATTCAGTTTTCAGCCGTTTAGCTACTCCCATTCTCGCTAAAGTTACAAGGAGTGTGTCAGCTTGGACTGCTTTTTTTAAAGAGCAATGCATGGCAGCCAATCAGAAGAGGGCTCATTTGTATATATCAGTCTTAAAGGACCAGTAAGTAAAACAGCCTGTTTATTTCTAAGGGATAAAAGGTTGGAAAATGGTCATGTAAAAATAAATGATGAGTCTTTGTTACGTAAAACCACATAAATGTAAAGCGGCCCTGGGCATTAGCAGTGGTAGGATATGGGCCCTTTAAATGCAGCTTTTCTCAGTCACAACAAAAGATTTGCACTCATCACAAAAAAATTGACAGTGTCTTATTGGTTGTCATCAAACTTAACCACAAACAAAACCTCTATTAAAATTAATTCAATTATAAGACTCTTGCAAAAGCAATTTAATCAAAGTCCAAATTGCAACTCGCAAGAAGTTCACTAGATGGCGATAAAAGACTCATGTAAAGACTGCTCAGGGTGCTCTGTGGAAGCAGACATAGCTGTAAAATCCCCACACACTACAATGTAATGTACTGCTTGTTGCTGTGCTTTGAAAATGGTTGGTATGTCGAAGCAATTTAATGTACACTTTGTTTGTCTTATAGAAGTACATGTGATGCAATGCATATCCCACAGGCCTAGTATCTCCCCTTTTTTGATGAAAGAGAATGTAAAATCAGTTGAGTTTTAAATATGAGATGACAGTATAGCAGCATGATTAGCCTGTAGCCAAGTTTACTAACAAATAGTATGACTAATACACATTGTTTTATCAGGTATTGTTGCTGCACTCCTAGTTGCAGCATTTATTAGAGATTAGTGAATGGGGCATAGAAGATATATATACATGTGGTGAATAAAACGTGAACTACATATTAATGAGAAGGTTTGCAAGTCCTCTCTTTAATTTTGCCATTTTCTCTGTCTTCTTCACATTCAAAAGCAGAATGGACAATGAATGTTGGAGCCAGCTTTGATATAGTTATTTTGATTACAGTTGGGATTAACTGCATACAGTTCACCTTTTCACGATGCATTTGTTACAGAAATGGGTGATGCTTGATTTTGATAGCTCCCTGTAGATGCTGTAGATGCCTTTAACTTGCATTGAATTAAATCTAAGCCTTAATTTTTCCTAACCTTAAATTTAGCACTCACTCTTATCTAATCCCAATCCTTACCCTATTAAGGAATGAAACCAGATTCATTAATAAAATGAACATCTGTACAATATATATGTATGTTCTCCGTATATTGTGGGGCCCAAAGAACGTATCCTAATGCACATGTGGGTGTTTTTAACGTGAAGCACAAATAGGAAGGAGTCCACAGATGTTTGTTTTCATTTTTCAACATGCAAGGGCAGATTCCATTTGATCTCTAGATCTTACAGGAGTTGCCTGCGCTAATCCACGGGATCTCGCCAGGCCTCCTTTGCATGTTGTTTTACTCGCGTCTCACGCGGCCCTAGCATGGGGAAAAGTCTGGGAGGAGCGACTGACCTACATTTGTCCAATGAGATACCGCGAAGGGCAGACACTGACCTACTTTAAGCCAATCGCGGTGAGGCAGGGCTGCCGGTAGGCTGCAACCGCGCGTGTTGAGGCCATGTGCTCGCTCTGAGTTCTGGTGTGGGCCTTAAGGTGCTGTTGAGAGCTATTTGTGTCGGCCAAATGGAAACGCTCACGTTTCGGCGTATCGGGACAGTGTTTAACGAAACGTAAGAGGACGTTTATCACCACGCTGAGCTCGAATCTTTGCGTTTCTAAAGACACGTATAAAATGGAGCAGCTTCTTAAGTCGATATATAAAGCCGAAGCTCCTTGTAGTTGAATGAAAGCGTTTGGTGGAGCCGACTCAGCATGACAGGCTCTAACGTCGGTGACTGCGCTCTCATGGTTCTCTCGTGGTTGCAGAAACCGCGTGTGTGAGCTTCAGCCTGAGCCGCCTCGGCAGTCAGTGGGGAAGGGGTTAAGCGGGTGGGCGTGGCCTGTCGTTAATATGCAAACATATGTAAACCCGGGACCGCCGCCGTTGGCCGGGCGCGTCACTGTGGGCGGGGAGAGAGGAGGTCCGCGCGGTGAATATTAATGAGCCCCGCCCCTCCGCGCTCTTCCCCCGTGAGAGGTGATGTCACGAGAGCTGCCCGTGTTCGTTCCAGCTGACTCCAGCCGCGGTCCGAGCGAGCGAGCGATAGAGAGAGAGAGAGAGAGAGAGAGCGACTGGAGAGAAAGCGAGGGAGAGGAAAGCGGTCGCAACAAACTAAGGAGAGAAAAGAGAGAGAGAAAAGAGACAAACAAAGAAGACAGCAACAACCATCGAGCTCAACTTCATCGCGTTTTATACTTTTTTTGGTTTGCGCTTGAACGTTTTTGAGTATCCGTTTTTTTCAGTTTGATTTAGATTCCCACCCACAAAAAACGCCTGGATTTCGGCTCTCGTAGAGACTAGCCAGCCCTTCTGCTGCAGTTTATGAGTCGCTCGTCTTCGTCGTGTGAGATTTGTTGGACCGCTGGCTCCATGGACGGCCGTCGTTTCCAGCTGATTCAGTTTTTGGGAGAATATAAGCGTCCTGGCCGGGAGGAGCGCCAACTCAGCTTGGTGACAAATGTCAACAAATGAACGGACTGTCCACTGACCGAGACGTCGAAGCTGGAGGTGCGATTAGCGGCCAGCAACTTTGTTGATCCGGCAGGGAGAGAGAGAGAGAGAATCGCCCAGGGCGGCAGGTTTAAATACTCTTAAAGGCGCTCGCAGATCTGAGACGGAGATGGAGCGATCCTGCTGAACTGAACACACTGTACCGGACGTACACACGCCTTTCAGTTTCCACATGGAAATGGATTAAGTGCAGCGCTCCGGGGAAACATTCTGGACGCAGTTAGGGGTTCAGACCCGCCCATTTCTGTCTTCTGCCCCTCTGAAAGGCCGAAGTGCGGCTGTACTTCTACAACAAGACCTAGTTGTGCTGACTTCAGAGTTACTCGTTGGTCGAACCTCAGCCAAGTTGTTGTCAGGCTATGTCCAGACAACTCTCTCAGCTTTTACCTCCAGAGCTGCCCGCTGGAGCCAGTCCACAGTTTGGTCCTGCCAATCCAGCGCCTTCTACTCCTAATGGCCACCTGAACTCCATGGCCAGTCTAAAATCTCTTCTACAGCTTCCTCTTAAAGGTGACAACAGAGCGAAAGACTGCTGTGAGATGAAAGGTGAATCAATCTCTCTCTCTCTCTCTCTCTCTCTCTCTCTCTCTCTCTCTCTTATCTCAAATGGTTGGGCCTACAACCCTCCCCTCCCACTCACTATGTTCCCTTTTGTTGTCAGTGATGTTTGTTTTGTTTATCTATTGTTGGAAGTGGAGCCTACACTCTTAGCAAAAATGTAGTACCAAAAAAAGGTTCTTTGACTTGCAACACTGTAGCAATAGTGGAACACTATGTGCTTCATAGAGCCATTTTGAAAAGGTTCTTCAAAGAGTTTCTCCATCCCATCCTGGAGAAGAACCATTTGACCATGCTAAGAACTGTTTATGCATTCAAAAGGCTGTCATGATGCTATATATAACCATGATCTTTGCTAAAGAGCCTATGAAAAACCCATTTTAAGGGTGTAGTGCAGTCATAGAGCTACAATAAAATGAAAAAAGAAAGAACTAAGATGAGAAAGAATCACTGAAAAAAATAAACTACTACAAATTGTTTCATGAAAGGAAAAACACTATATTCCCACCAGTGCTCATTTCAGGGGTCATTTTTTAAAATAAGGCTGTTCAGTTGTATTTCTTAAAGGCAAAATGACTGGCATTAAAGGGATGCCACACTGAGCTGTTGGCCACAAGTAATAATGACTGTCTGTGCTCTGTGGCTCCCTCTGGTGGAATATCTATACCATAGCGAGGTCTCAGAGGCTTTTTCTTTTGAAGTACCCAGGATGGTGATGATGATGATGAGCACTGAATGACTCTGAACAAAGATGTTTTTCCAAAGATTTCAGATTTGAGTACATATAGAGAAATGGTGTTTTATATTAAATTACATACAGAAAATGAGGTAAGGGGATATCGTTAACAAGGACTGCTCAGTTTTTACATGTGAAGGATTGTATGCAGACTCTAGCTTCAGTGGTTTTTCCTCATCCAGAGCTGCTTCTTGTTGGCTTTGTTCAACGCCCTCAAATACACCCACACTCTCCATCTCCCTTTCTGCTTCTCACCCCCCCACCCCGCATAAGTACTACCTCTTTCTAGCTATCAGCCTCTGATTCTTTCCTCACTGCACCCAGTGAATTATCCCATACTGCACATATACTTGACACTGCGGTATTTGGTTCTTCTACACTGTAGTAATTAGAGGTTGGCTGATACATTGCTTGGCTAAACTATTGGAGTATAAAAGTGAGGTACATACAGAAAAATGAATAGAATTTTACAGCATGATATACATATTGAATGATATAGAATAGTATAGAATAATATGTAGAATACAGAGTAGAAAATAATATTGGCTGATATCATTATCGCAGTTTTTAGCCTCTAAAAATTGGTATTGGTCACACATTTTTTATGTGGGTTGGGCTCTAATATCAATGTAATTAGAGTGTATGAAAACACCAATATGTATATGATGTGTGTGTGTGTGTGTGTATATATATATATATATATATATATATATATATATATATATATATATATATATATATATATATGTATATGTAGTCATGTGAAAAGTTAGCATAAAATTGCCATATTTAAGTTTAAGACTAAGGATTGCTCCTAATCTGTCACAGTTTAGTACTTTATGTTATAATTTTATGTGAACAACATTTCTTACAGACTTGAGACTTTAACAAGGCGCATTCAAAAAAGAATATAGGGGCTCGGTCATGAGAAATGTGCCTGTGTTGGATCAGTAGTAGATTCCAGTATATTAATTGGTTACTTCTTTAAATGCATCATTTTTGTATTGCATTGTAAATTGAAATGCATATTGCATCAACGTAACGCTTATTGTACATCTTTCGTCCTTGCTTTGAGTCACTGTTTCAGAGTTGCAGTGCATTCCCCTCCAGTTTTGCCCTTCTGCATCCCTCCATCTGAATGGGATTGCATTGCATCCCTCTGGCCCTGTGGGTGTCAGTGTGTGATTTGGAGCTCATGGCAGCTGTGATTGTAGAGGCTTCACACTCTTGGCTATGCAAGAATATTACATTCTTACTAAAACACTGTGCAGGGTCTTGAGACACACTTATAACAGATTAAATAAATCTTTATTGGTGGTACTGTTCAGCATTGCATTTCACATTTGAAAGCTTTTGCCGCTATATATTAGGTGTTAAACTCTTTAACTGCATGTGGGTCTGCATGAGTTCCTCACTCTAAATAACTCTAAATAAACACCTAATGTACATTTTAGTTTCAGTAGTTATCGAATAACACATAGTAGTTACTGAAGGATAAGTCTTTAGATTAATAATTAAATAATAAGTGCAGGGTTCAAAGAGTTAAGGTTGACATAATGCAAGAAAACTGAAGATTGGGTGAAACAGGGACTTTGTAGGAGGAGGAGTAAGTCCATTATTGTAACAAACAGAACATTTGCTTTTCAAAAATTCTCTTAGTCCATTTATCATGTACAAAAATCTTTAAAAAAGGAAAAAAAATCAGAAGAGTGGTGCCAGACAAAGCCTATTAATCAACAGTAAAAGTACTGTTACATTACAGTCATTTCATTAGACATTCTGCCTTTATTATAATTCTACAACCCTGTTGTAAAAAAAAGTTAGGATGCTGTGAAAATGTAAATAAAAAACAGAATGCAGTGATGTGCAAATTATGTAAACACTGTGTTTATTTAAAAAATATACTACGACAACAAATCAAATTTTTAAACTGGGAAATGTTTTGAAAAAAAAATGCCCATTTTGAATTTGATGCCAGCAACACATTTAAAAAAAATGGAAGAGGGGCAACAAAAGACTGGTAAAGTTGTGTAATGCTAAAAAACACCTGGTGGAACATCTCACAACTAATTAGATTAATTGGGAACAGGTTAGTAACAGGATTGGATATAAAAAGAGAATCTCAGAGAGGCTGAGTCTTTCAGAATTAAAGATGTGGAGATTTTATCATCTACAGTACATAATATCATTAAAAGATTCAGAGAATTCAGAGAAATCTCTTTATGCAAGGGACAAGGCCAAAAACCAGTATTGGCTTATTGTGATCTTCGGGCCCTCAGGCAGCCCTGCATTAAAAACAGTCTTGATTCTGTAGTGGAAAACACTTCCCAAAAGCACTGTCTGCAACCACAAATGCAAGTTAAAACTCTACCATGCAAAGAAGAAAGCAAGTATATACAGGATCCTGAAACACTGCTGCCTTCTCTGGGCCTGAGGTCATTTCAGATAGACTGAGGCAAAGTATTAAAAAATGTCCTGTGGTCTGACGAATAAAACATGTACATTCTTTTTGGAAATCATAGAGACCGCGTCCTCTGGACAAAACAGGAGAGGGACCATCTGGCTTGTTATCAGCTCACAGTTCAAAAGCCAGATCTGTGATGGTATGGGTGTGCATTAGAAGAGGTGATGCATCACAGTGGTAAACATGCCCCCATCCCAACTTTTTGCATTGTGTTGTTGGCATTAAATAAAAAAATAAATAAATAAAATTAAACCATTAAAATACAGGCAAATGTCTGTGAAATTCTGAAATAAAGGTGAACATTTGTTTTTTTGTAATATACATTCTATTTCTGTAAATTAACAGCAGCAGGGTTAAAATACAGCATTTGTATTAGTTTATTTACATACATTTCAAAAAACAGGTATTGGCCGTTAAATTTTACAGTACTTTGACAGTGAAAATGCTATTAAAGTATTTGTGTACTTTTTTAGTATTTATTTAGGTTTTCTTAAGACTCCTATGTATTTTCAATTCACATAGGGTGCTAGTGATGATATGCTAGTTTAGTGTTCAGTATAAGACTACAATACTGAGATACTACGTGGAAGAGAAAGTGTCCTTAATGTCATAATGTAACGCAAATGCTTTTTTGTTCTAGATAAAGAGAAGCCCTTGGACTCTGATGAAGACTCGCTGGGTGGGGTCGGGGGCGTAACCGGGGGCGGAGGCGCCATGCGCAGCTCATCCCAGTCAGCCTTCCTGGGACCATTACTGTGGGAGCGCACCCTACCGTGTGACGGCAGCCTGTTCCAGCTGCAGTACATGGACCTGGAGGAGTTCTTGACTGAGAACGGGATGGGCTGCATGCCATCAGGGAACGCCTCCAGCGCCCAGGCCCAAATCCCCTCTCAGAGTACGCAGTCAGCCGTACCCAGCCAGAGCTCCCAGTGTCCCCCCTCCTCACCACCCCCCTGTTCCTCCTCTGCGTCCTCCATTTCATCCCTCTCCTCCTCATCCTCCTCTTCCTCCCTGCTGGGCCTGGACGTGCCGCAGGGCCCGACACCGGGGATGCTGGGAGGGCCTGAGTGTCTGCATGGTAAGTGTGTACGGGTGTGTTTGTTTTCATACATACTAAGGACAAAGATGGCCTCAGATTGTAAAACCAGAGATAACTGTGCTAACCTACAAAATTCAGGGTTAACAAGTTGCTATTTTCACCAAAAAAGACTGTTTTAATAAAAAAATTCTTATTAGTTATTGAGGTTAAGGTTAGGCTTAGGAAAGTCTTATTACATATAGTTAGTTTGTATTGCTTGCATTACATATAGGCAGTCACATAAAATTTCTGAGCAGGTAGCACTGGTGCTGAAAACATTGCATCATAGCTTAAATTGAAATATTATAGCACTGAGAAAAAACGACATAATAATCCTTCTACAAAAATATGAATTAAACTAAAAGATGAAAATGATTTGTTATTTTATCCATAAAAAAACAGAGCTGCATGTAAAAAGTTTGAATTTGATTGTTCCTTTTCGGAAATGTAGTCTACAGATAATTCATTTCTCCACCATAATTTAGATCCTCCACAAGGGGGCACTACTAGGATTCTGGTAGCCTTTTGCCATCATAGAGAGAGAGGAAACCCAAACCAGCAGGAGCTCATGAATGCATTTATGTTGGCGATCACAAATTTCAAAACGGGAAGGGAAATAGTTTACTATTTAAGGGTAAAGCTCAATGTTATGTAATAGGATATTTTTAGTAAAATAATTCTAAAAAAGATTAATGGCTGAATATAGCAAAATCGATTTCTTTCAAACCCAGAAACGTCTTTGGGACAACTTTTTATTACAGCAAACAAAAGAACATAAACCCTAATTCATTTCTGACTTTACATACAACATCACAGCCTCAAACTGAACATCTTTTGGACATTTTGGATATTGCAGGGCTTTTTGTATATAAATATCTGAATTCTATCACATTCAAATTACCTGATGGACTACAACTACCATAAACACTTTCTGCTGTGTCGCAGTTTGCATGACTGTTGACGAGATAACTTAGGCAGTGGGAAAATGTTCTTGCATGTATCATGTAGTAATAATATTTCATAAATAATTGATTACATCTACCTTGAGCACTAACACTTACCAAAATAAGTGAGTGGACATAATAAACACTGCAGACATAAAGGTAATCTTTTTTTGTATTTGCGCAGCATTCTTTTCTCCTAGCATTACTTTTACATTGTATCACCCTGTGTATTTAGTACATATTATTGTTACATAAAGACAAGGCAGTTACATTCATACATATATGTGGATGGTCCTGCATCCTGCCACTGTATAAAAATAGTGTTTGTATACATTCTTTGACAAATTGCTGGAAAATGTAGTATATCTGTATCATTACTTAGCATTTGTGTACGTATACAAGCTGGGATGGGAATCTGAAATGACATACTATATATCAATAATGCTCAACAATTTAACAATGTTAAATACCACAATGAATATTCTGGTTGGCCAAAGAGTGATCATTTGTTTAGCATAATAATTTTATGATGCCATCTAATGACTGCCGTTCCACACCTAATCATGTCAATTCACACATAGTGTATGTACTTTGATCAGCATGTTTTAGTCAACTGTAAGTAAACAGGCCGCTTTTTGTTAGTCACTGGCCATAACTGACGTATTTGTGGCGGATGGTATAAAGCTGAAGTGCAGAAAAAGTTAATAAGGAGCCATGCTAACATGGCTACTAGCTTTTTCCTTTTCTCTTTTGACGTCACTGTTTTCACATGTACAATAACAAGGTACAATAATTCAATGCTTTTTGGTTTTATCTGATGTGAACAGAGCAAAAGCAGCTAGTCACAGGAGCCTGCTTTGAACAGATGCTTCACTAAGCTTGCTCACGTGGAAGGCAGAAGCTTCCCATCTGAAGGCTACTAGCCATATGATATTAATAGAAGCAAAAACCAAGGTACTACCACGTTTAAACCAGGGCTGCACAGTGTATTGTTTGTTGATTGCGACATTGGCCTTTGCAGCACTCATATCACAGAAGGCTGCAACATGCAAATGCGGCCTTTAACAAATCACAAAAATTTGCGTGCTGTGAGCATTCTGACTGACCTCAGATGCTCCAGATAAGTGTCTTGTGGGTGTTTTGATGATTCAAGCCACATGATCCAGCAAACGTAAATCATTTCAGTCCCAGTCATGCAGACCAGTCTTTAACCAATGCATTAATGTACTGCAAGGCAAATCACAATGGCACCATGTAGCAACAGTGTGATATGGCATTTCATTATTTTGTGCAGCTGTAATTTAAATTTGGCAAAATATATGGAAACCACTTCAACAGCTTTGCTGTGTGGTTAGAAAACTAAACTTCAACTACATGAATTTGGAACCAGCTGTCAAAGCCAACAGTGTTAATGTTATACTATTAGCTTGACTGATTCATTTTGAATGTTCACTCATATTCATATTGCACCAGTATCAGTGCCTGTAAAACATATTGCTTGAAATGCAGTGTGAAGCACAATGTTAGTTAAAAGATCCATTCAAATGCATTATGGAGAATGCAGCAAAGAAAAACAGCTGAGGGAACAGCAAGGAAATAGAAAAGGAAAGAGAGAGAGAGAGAGAGAGAGAGAGATGGGAAGGGGTGGGGGCTCTGCCAGTGTGTATTTTCCTCGCATGTTTTCGAATCTTGTTCCCTCGCTCTCCCTCTCGTTTGCTGTCTCACACGTTGAGTCCATGTGCAGGCACCTTGTCACGTGCTGATGCAGAGAGCAATGAAGTGAGAGAGCGAGGGGACGGGAGGGGTGGAGGAAGAGAGGGAGGAGCCATGAGGCCAGAGGAAGAGGGAGAGCGAGAGAGAGAGAGCGTACCATTGCTGTCATATCGAAATCTCCCAACATTATCATTTTATAACATTTGAAACTGCTACATTCATAACATGGAGGTTCTTCAGGCTTCTTTAAACTTCAGGAAGGTTCTTCACACAAGATTCATCTCATTTACAAAGACCTCCATTGAAAGGTTTATTTAAAGGGACATTCTAGCTTTTTTTCTTTGCATAATTCAGTGGTTAAGATGTGAACAAAGTAATTCAGAGTGGTTTGATGTAAAGTGCTCCATTCTAGAGAAACTTGCTGAGTCAGAATTGTTCACAGCAGCGTTGACAGGAACCAGAGGTCTGAAGAGTTTATTGCCGCTAAAAGCTAGAGATAAAGTTTTTGAGATAAAGTTTTGACTTGAAGGTGCAGTGTGTAAAATGGAATATGATATACAAAACCATGTTTTTATTAGTGTTTAATTACCTGTAACTACAAATCATTACGTTTCGTTACCTTAGACTGAGGTCTTCATATCTACACAGGGAGCGGGTCCTCTTCCCACAGAGGCCACCATGTTGTGCCGCCATGTTTCTACAGTAGCCCAGAACAGACAAATCAAACACTCTAGAGAGTGCCTTTCGCATTTTTTCATTGAAGAGGCAGCTTGAATTTGGTGGTGCTATAGCACCGCTTGGTTGATGTAGAAAAAAGAAGAATCAGTGGTTGCTGCTGGTGCTGGCTAACCATTTTGTGTCGTGAAAAGTTGAAGCCCAAATTTTGACAAATGGAGGATCATACTTATCACTTAGCACAAGAAAAAGTGAGGGTGAATACTCGTCGTCAGCGAAGCAAAAACATGACGGCCATCGCTTTTTATATTACACATCGGGTAACGGAGCCGTATTCAGTTGCTTCCACTCTGCAGCCTTACCACTAGATGCCACTAAATCTTACACATTGCACCTTTAAAACATTAATATCTATTCATGGTGGAGAGGTATGTGCAGGGTGTCAGTAGTAAAAATGAGCATATTTTTTAGATTTATCACTATTTTACCATCATCAACATTATATATAAAAATTCAGAAGACATGTAGGTTCACTGGTCATATTGGAAAAATGGCTATATTTGTGTTGTAGACATGATGATTTCGGACACCTCATTATCTCATCATCACTCATCATCTCCACCACTACCAAGAAATTTCTCTACAAAAACCATTTCATGTTTACACGTTTACATCTGATTGACTTATTTATGTTGAAATTTTGGAAAATCAGTGAACTATAAGTGGTTCTTTTATGGCATTGCTCTAGAGAACCACCTTTATTATTAAGAGTGCTGCTGCTGTTTACATCGTGTGAGCATTTTATGATGAATGGGCCAATAAAAATGCTCTAAAACTACATTAATCTCATAGCATTAATGTATATTAAAGTTATTTGTACTGTGTTGTGTAAAGAGCTTGGTAAGACAGTGATGATATGTCCTTGATTGGGATATCTGTTATTTTTGTTTGCTTGGCACTGACAAATATGACATGACTGAGTATCTTGTAACATATGTTTATAACATCATAATACTTGCCATCGATACATGATAAGTTTCACTATATTTCGCTTTTCAGAGCTTTAATAAGCTAGAACAAAAAATATCAGTAGTGCCACCTATTAACAATTCTATCAAAAACTATTAGAATCAATGACTTATGTTTAGGGTTTCACATCCAGTTAACCAAATCCAAACACACACACACACACGCACGCACACACACACACGCACACGTACGCACACATTTTCTAAGCCGCTTATCCTTCTGGGTTGCAGGGGGAGCTGGAGCCTATGCCAGCAGTTGTTAGGTGGAAGACAGGATACACCCTAGACAGGTCCAAATCCAAACAATCAGGACTAATTATTCTCAGGACTAATTAAGTACTGATGATATCCATGACATACTCAGAAAAGCATATTGTGACAGTTTTTCACAATAACGATAAATATCATCATATAGCCAGCTCTTAGTGTCTCTCTATGTTTGTACATTCTCACTTAGTGTGTGCACTTCCAGTATGAAAGTATTACAGACAGCTGTGCTTCTTATTTGTGATATTTCCTTCAGAGGCAGAAAGATGCTTAAGAAGGATCTTCTGTATGCCCGAGGGAAGGAAGGCTGCTTTTTTTTCATGGGTGTATTTTTAAATGCAAGAGAAGGAAACAGTCTGCTCTTAGGAGCTGCGTAATATTGCTGGGAGAGGGCCTGAATTTTGTGCAGCATTCTCATATCGCCCTTCGTTTAATGTAATTTCATTTGCATGTTTTTGCTTTGAGGAAAGAATCCAATATTTGGCTGGAGTCTCAAGGCTTTGCGAGAGATGGCTCATTAGTAAAATATACAAGGAATTATGCTGATCCAAACTGAATGTGCTCTCGGATTAGCTCGCATATATTTGAAGTTGCAATGCATTTTGTTGTCCTGTATCCTCGAAAGATGATGGAGTTGTAGTTTGTGTTATGGGATTCACAACCAAAAGCAATACGTCACGAGTAAGAAAGCAAAGGAGCCGAAAACTTTATGAGCCTTAAAAATGCAGAAGAAGAACTTCATTATGCATGGTTGTCCTAAATTCGCAGCATTTGCATGTGGAATATGCATGTGTTTCAAGTCAATGGATTTGTAGTGTATAGCAGCTGCACTATAAAATACCATTATGGCTAATGTATAATAATTATTGCCAAGTGCATGGCATTCAATTACTGCTCTAAAAGCATTTTTCCCCCTTTTTCGTTAAAAAGGGAAATAGGCAAAGAGTGCACATGCTAATGGAAAGCAGACATTAGGAAGTTCTTTTTTTTAGTTAAGAGTAAATGAATTTTCTTTGAGTGGTGTTGAGAGCAGAGAGATATAAAAGACTTGCCTTCAAATGAAAGAGACTCGGCTCCCAGACTGGTTTGTAGACAAAATGTTTATTGTAAGGACTGGGGCTATTTGTTGGCTTATGCCTGACCAGGCTGCCACTTGCTGTTACTGGCAGGTCTCCACACTGACCTCTGCTGCGCCCTTGTGGCTGTAATGTGTCATTGCGTCCGGCCTGAGCACGGACATGGCCATGCAGGCTCCTAATCCTCCCCTGCCATATAAAGAGCTTACTTTCCAGTCTGCTGCCTAAGAGTTTTGCATGATGTATTTGTTAACTGTTATCGTGAAATCGGCCTTTGCCGTAACAGTATTGGACAATAGTACAATATGCAGCACTCTGAAAATGTTCAACCAAAATGTCAGTTCAACCTTAAAGATATACTTTACTTGGTTACAAATGACTTTGTGACTTCAAACTTGTTTAATTTGAGTCAGATAAGGCAAAACAACAGTTCAGATGGACTGAACATCAATCAAAATGTGCCCTGTTCCATTTTTTTTACAGTAAAATGAGCTCTCAAACACATACTGTGAACATTATGACCAGTCACAGTCATTTAATAGGAGTTTCTGTGGGTGTGTTAATATATGGAAGCATTCACATTGAACAAGTTTTAATAATTTCTGCTAGAATTACGCAGGATAACCTTCAACAAGGTTTTGCCAGTGTGCTTAATTTAAAGTAATATAGATCATAAGAATTATAAGAATGTTTCAATGTACATCTATACGAAATATAATATAATTATACGAGTGCCAAATATACCAGATGTATAAATATGAGATCAAAATATGTACAAATGTACAGATATACCTGTTATCTGATGTGCATATGATGTTCAAAGAATCATGCACAAATATGTGTGATATAAAGACAACTGGATCAGAGAGCATAGTGTAAAATATATACATATACCACCATACAGGTTAAACAGTTGTATATGTTGTATAGAAGGACTGTGCAAACATATCATAATACTGTGACAGTAGCATTAATAGTTGTAATATTGTATTCTTGTCTTCCCTTTCTGATATTCTCTCTTTAGGAGGGCAGGCAGTGCAGCAGGACCCCTCTCCAAGCTCCTCCTGCCCACCTCCACCAGTGCCCCTGCCCACCAACGCTGCTGATGTGATGGTGAACTTTGACCCAGACCCCGCTGACCTGGCCTTGTCCAGCGTCCCAGGCCAGGAGGCCTTCGACCCCAGGAGACATCGTTTCTCTGAAGAGGAGCTCAAGCCTCAGCCCATGATCAAGAAGGCCCGCAAAATGCTGGTGCCAGATGATCAGAAGGTACTATTACAATTCAGCAGCTCACTGTAAATACAGTCGTATGCAGAAGTTTGTGGACCCCTGGTCAAATGGCATGTTTAGTTGAGTTTTTAAGTGGAAATAAGTTACACATCCTGTACAGAGAGCACATGTCTGCACATTTTAATGCACAATTGTGGTTTATTTACTGAATTTAACACTGTGGAAAAAAATAAGACATAAAATGTGGCCTGTGAAGAAGTTATGCCTCATTTTCTTTGTCATGTTTTGTTTTTACCAATATGTTAAACTATTAACTGGGGTTTTTCTCTTTCATTTGCATGAATTAATGGAAACTCTAGAGCTATATTAGTAAGCATGCTATAGTTATCTTACGTGATAGAGTTTTGCAGACTTTTGCGAGGCGAGATGTTGTTATTAAGTTTTAGCTGGCAGCAATACAGTCTACATATCTGTCACAGTACGTATAACCTAAATTAAAGAAAGCTTTGTAACAAACACAGGTGACAAACACTGTGTATTTGATGCTAGTCTATTACAAGTTGATGTATGAGTCCTTTGGTGGTGATAACAGTTATTTGCATTTTGCTTATTTTAAGTTCTGATGCAATGTGTTTGCAACCCCGTTAGCAAGATGTATTTACACTACTAAAGGAAGAGGAAAAACCAATAACTCTCATAATGAACAGGAAATCATCACATCCCTGCAGGGTAAACAGGACTCTGTAACAGGGTTGCACATACACTAGGACAAAACTTAATTGTGTAATTGCTATTAGTTCAAATAAGCTAATAATGCAAAGTATTATTTTCACTATTTCAACAAAAGGCATTTGAAAAAATTATAGCTATTTATCATGCCAGTATGCATTTATTAGTTAAAAAGGCACTAACTTTGGAATAACTACAGATAAACAGTACATTTTGACTGTATGTCTGTCTGTATGTTAGCTCAAAGTTATTCCACAGATTAAGAGAACAAAGTCATTCAGAGTGGTTTGGTGTGAAATGGTTCATCATAGAGAAACTTGCTGACTCAGATTTCTTTACAGTGGTGGTGAGAGGAACCAAGAGTTACCATGTCTACAATACAAATACAACCATTTTATGTACTATCCTAAAGCACCAGTAAACCTGCATGTGTGTTCTGAGTTTTCCATGTAATGTTGATAATGGTAAAATAGTGGTAAATCTGAAAAAAAAAATGTTTTCTTTAGGTTCTGTTTTTCCTTACAGTGCCCTGCATGTACCTCTCCACGGTGAATGGATTTAAACAATTAAAAAAAAAGTTTAAAAAAAAAGTAATTTAGGCAAAAACTACCCTAGATCAAAATTTCAGGCATCAGACAAAGTGTTTGTAAGAGTTTCATGTAATAACTTTCTGTGAGGAGCATTTAACTCTTCAGATGTCTGGTTCCACAGTGAACAGTTCTGAGTTTCTCCAGAGCAGAATATTTCACATCAAACCACTCTGAATGACTGTGTTTAGAGCTTAAAGAAATTTAGAGACTGTGGAATTTAACTATTTCCAAAGCTGTCTTTGAGGACATCCTGTATTTATAGTTACCATCCAATACCTGCTTCAGTCGTCATTAAATTAAATCAGCTGAGCTGCTGATGGAATTCGACAAATTGATGCTGTGATTAAAGTGCGGTAAGAAGTCAGGAACCAAACCTGTATTCTTCTGACTGCATCCTTCTAACCAACATATTAATGATTTTAAAAAGAAGTTCAGATGACTTTTTACAGTATTTATGTATTTACTGCACTGTGCAAAAGTCTTAAAAAGCACCTAAGTAAATTGTTTGGGTTTATATAGCATTTATTACTGCTGTAAGTGTGTTTTTGCCAGTAAATGCCTCCAGCCGTCTACTGGATTTGTTAAATTCCATCACCAGCACATCTGATTTAACATTGTGAAGTATTGATTAGCCAAATCAGGTATTGGATGATAACTACAATGCTGGGCTTATTTCTTCTTCAGATGACTATCAGGTGGATTTGATCTGCTTATCAGAGGCTTTTGAACAAACTTGTGGAATCTGTGCCTCATTGAGTGCACACTGGCATTAAAACAAAACAAGCTCATTTTAAAGAAATACTGAGGAATTCTGAAATGTTGAAATTTCAAATATATAGTAACTTCACAGAAGAACAAAACACATTCTTAAATTTGAATGGAATTTAATGGAACAAGATTGTTTTCCAAGTAATTTTGGACCATTCTTATTGGTCTGTATACTATGAAATTGAATACAATGCAAAGGGTGACTGGAACTTTCAAACTATGCAAAAAGGTTAAAAATGATAAAAATGGACAAAATGACAAAAATGGAGAATTTTGCATAACAGTGAGATCAAGGTGATTTCAAGGTGAATGGACCAAAAGAAACGGCACAGAATTACTTGGACGAATGTCTGGTTCCATTGACTTACATTAAAAGTAAAGCAGGTTATATATATGAATGAATGTTTTATTTTGGCAAGAAGTGTATTTGTGCTCTATATATCATTAGAATAAATGCGAATAAACATTAATGCGGTAAAATATAACAAGAATTTCTTGTTTCCAAAAATGTAGTTGATCTCTTGTGAGCTAGCCAGTTCCAGATTTCATCTGGATGCCTCCAGCCTTTACGTAGATTTTTTTAAATCCATCATCAGCACACCTGATTTAATATAATGACGTATTAATTAGCCAAACCATGTACTGTACGATAACTACAAGTAAGGCTGGGCTTCCAAGAGGAGAGGTTTGTAAATGGTAAAGTGAACAAGTTGACATAAAATCACTATATACTTTATTAATGTCATTTAAATTTAGTCTAATATTAGTGTCTTTCTGAGCAAATAAATGCTTACTACCCAGATAAATAGCTTAAATCTGTTTTTTCAGGTGCCTGGTACTGTATCTGTCTCATATGTCCCTATTTGTGTCCTTCAAAGGTGAAATAATCCTTGCATTATTCGCTTATTTTAAGTTACATATCGCTGCTGTCGGAACAAAACCTCCATTTTTGTCCTTTTTCAGTTTTTGACATACTTTAAAAATGCCTGTTGCTCTTTACATTGTGTGTAAATTTCAAGATGAATGAACCAAAAGAAACGGCCCAAAATTACTTATTAAACAATCTGGTTCCACTGACTTTCATTAAATGTAAAGTATGTTTTTTCCTTCTACTGTAAAGTTAACATTTTGGAGATACGAGGTTTTGTTCTGACAGCAGTGATATTCTTTTATGGTTGGAAAAGAAAAGGAACTCTTCTAGTGGATTGTCTCATGTAATGCTGACCTCTCTCACTGTTTTCTTTTCTGCTCACCTCACCTATGAAGGATGAAAAGTACTGGAGCCGTCGCGTCAAGAACAACGAGGCTGCCAAGCGCTCACGAGACGCACGGCGGCTAAAGGAGAACCAGATTTCCGTCCGCGCTGCTTTCCTCGAACGGGAGAATGCCGCGCTCCGACAGGAAGTAGCCGATATGCGCAAAGAGCTGGGCCGCTGTCGCAACATCATCAACAAGTACGAGAGTCGCCACGGAGGCTTATGAAGAGGAGGACTAAGAAGGACGAGAGGAGAAGCAATTCAGTCAATGTTTGGAAGAAGAAAGCAAGAGTTTATAGACAGGACTGTTGAACCAGACAGCAGTTTATGTGCGTACTTGTTTCAAACTTGCACTGCGACACTTGCAGACTGTGTTCCTCTGTGAGTGGTGGTTTCGGTGAAGGTGGTGTTGTGCATGGCTGCAAACAAGTACTTTGGCGAACATTTTAATAATCATAGTCGAAGGGAATGCTCACAATGTCTAGACGTAAACACTGTTCAGGATACTTTTTCCAAACCTTTCTGTGAGTATTGATCTTTTCCTGCCTTTTTTTTGGGCGGGCGAACTGAGCTCCTGCCGATTTTTAAGGGTGACTGTCAAACTCGTGTGCGGTGTTACCCAGACCTTATGAACATTCCTTCATTGTTCTGGCTAATTTTCTTAGAGAGAGGATTTTATGAGGCGACCCAGGTGTAATTTTTTCTATGACAACAAAAAAAAAACATTGTATATTTTTGAACTGGTTAGGCACAGATAAGATGGAAGGAGAGGAGGACGAGACAACACAAAGAGATTTTGACATAGGAAAAAAATATATATGTATATTTTTATACTTACAGAAGCAGACAGGTGAAGAGATTTTGGAAAATAATCTTTTTTGTATATTTTATATATGGGTGGGTAGGGGTAGTTGTAGAGAAAGAGGGCTACATGAAGATGTTTTCAACCATAATCAGGACCGAGCTTGTTTGGTTGATTCTATTTTAGATGTAAGGAATTTTCTGGAAGATATATTTTAAAGGAGAAGATAGAGAATGGGCTGAAACAGTGGCAGATAAGGTGGACGGATGGAGGCGGAGAACTTTGCTGACAAAAATAAACAGTTGAAGGTGAAGCGAAGAGCGAAATGAGAGTCGCGCCGATTGGAACTTTGTTGTGGGTTCGTTTAAGCACTTAATTTGATGTCGTCATCGTCTTCTTCTTCTTGATTCCTTTCTTTCTTCAGCCTCGGCATGTGTTTTGTCCTGAGCTAAGAGAGGAGGAAGAAAAAGAGATAGAAGGAGATATTGGAAAGCTCTGGATACTACATCCCGCCACTACATCCAAGGAATTTCATGTACAAATCATTTCTCCATGTATATATTTTACACATTCAAGTTACTATGTCTTCTTATATATACTGATATACATAAATATATATAGTTGTATACACACATGCACACAGACTGGACCTTGGTTCGCATGGCCAGTACGATGCAACGCACAAAAACGACTCCTTTTATGAAGTCTACACACACATACTCGAAGCTATTTCAGTACAGTGGTCCCTGTTTTCTCACTCTATCTCTTTCTCTCACTCCCTCGGTTCTGCTTTTTTCCGACAAGAGATGATGCTGGTTTGGAATTTTTTTTCTGCCCGTGTTAGGTTGGCAGTGAGTGGGTTGCATGGTGGCGCATGCTTGCGTACTGTACGATCAGCACAGAAACAAAAAAACCCACCCTTGTGTTGACAACTGTCTTTTTATATGGTGCTCACCCAGTTCCTCCACCCACCCACACACACACACACTCACACACACACAAACCGACACAGTACTCGACTGCCTACAACCCTGTTTCTCTTAATGGTTTATTTTTTTCCTGTACTGTGGGGAATTGAATATAGACAAAAACACCTGTTTATAAAACTCCTCAAACTAAACCCAGTGACACTTTACTATCAGAGGGCTACATGGCACCTACATAAGCCTCTCATAACTGTCATAAACCTTCAAAAATGCTAATTCCAAGAAGCATCCAGACAACTGACGCTTGTTGTAATAAGCCTTTGTAAATGTCCAAATAGGTTTGTCTGTTGTCACGAAAGGCTTATGTAGGCATCATGTAGCCTTAGGAACGCTGCCCTAAACCCTTACAGATGAATTGCACCCTAATACTACTGTACCATTAAAAACAATGTACCATTATATAAATATATATATATTGAATATTAAACTATTATCTCACTAGGTATGTGTGTGTACATGAATATATGCTTGAATATGTGATTTCTAGATGTAATTTACATAACTTGAATACATGTAGTATCTATACAGAACATCATAATTATAATAAAACAATCTGATTTCTTGCCCAATTTGCTCAGGTGTCTGGCTTCCAGAAGCAAAAATCTTAAAAATGATCTAAAACGTTAAGGTTCCTGGGACATATTTGGATTTTTTTTTTTACAGTAGAATTCAGAGAATTCCATGGAAATCCATACTACACTACCAGCTCATCTTGGGAAGGTTACAAAAACAGTGCTGGACATATAAAAAGATGTCCTTTGTTGGTTTTACACAAACAGATTCCAGTATATTTCCTTTTTTTCCATTCTCGTTACTCTTATTGCTAGTATTATCATTGTTGTTGCTGTTATGATTGCTATTCTTCTATTTCTTTTCAGCATTTTCTTGCAACAACCTTTGATAGAAAATGCAACGCTCTCTTACCATCTAGAATAACTCCAAGACTGTTATTTGTTGGCACCATCCACCAAGACTGTACATGGCTCCAAGTGCATTGTGGGGGCTGTTGTCTTGTCCTTGTACGTATGAGTTTATATAAGCTGATACAAACACACGAGAATTGAGCAACTGATGTTTGTATTTTCTCCTGGAGGAATTTGAACTACTCCTTCTGCCATCATTGACTTGGTGCTGCTTTTGCTGCCAAGGGCCACATGTCAAAGGAGAACGTGTTTTTTGTTACATCGGAACTGTTTGTAGAAGCTTAAATTGAAACTTTTGACAGTGCTATTTTTCTATGTAACTCTGTGTACACATTAAGAGATTTCATGGGCATTGGTAGCCTATCCTCTCTTCGGAGTGACGGTGTTCTACCAAATGTTATTGCGGGTATTGTATTCATTTTTTTTTCCTCTCCACGTGTGGAATATTAACAGGTCCTTGTTTGTGACTGTTATGAACTACAAATCCCAAGAGCATACCACTATCAAACTTCACTGATAATGTCTTTTGTTCCTACCTTTAGGGATGCTGGGAAATGTGGTTTGGCTTCTTTCCTGACACACCAATAAATGATTACCCTTATTCACTGATACAAAATCTACCTTCACTTTGCATGTTTTGCTTCTTTGTTATATGAAAGTATGGCAGGAAAAAAAGGTCTGCATCATTTCGTGACACCATCTTACTGGCTGTCTGCATTTTTGCGGAATAGGAGAGGAGCAGAAGGGAGGCGATATGCCCAAATAAGGACTGTGGGTCTAAGCCGGAAAACAACAAATGTTGGTTTCAAAAATTGCCCCATTTCCAAAATAAGTATAGTAACAAAAGGCAATCACTTAAGCATTTTTGACTGTCTGTGGTACATACATATTACCAGCAAGACTCACAACGCTACTGCACACTTAATTGATGTCATGGGAAATAAGGCTACTGCTGTAACTATATACTGCTTGTACCCTATTATATAGCAACAACAGCTACTTAATTTGGAGCTTACTACTGCCAAGGCACTCAGCTATCACACTTCACGAATTTGGGGGGTATTTTGGCTGATGACTACACTAATGATGTCAATTCAGTGTGCAGGAGTATTAGCCTGCATGTAGCATGTATTTAGCAATATTCTTATTTTAACTACTTAGTAACCTCGCAATTCAAATGACAGTGATATTTGAATATCTGTGCACTTGTACATAGGACAAAAGATTTGGCTTTGGAGCTGATGGGTAATCACAGAGTGTGTTACAATTCAATTGAATGTACATACTTGATAAGTCAGATGCGTGTTATGATCATGTCTGTAATTAAGATGATTTATAAAACAGAGATTTCCGGTCCTAAAATCTGTTTAGCTAAGCCGCATTTGAAGCCATTGTAAAATCCACGATATACGCACACCTATGACCTCACAACAACTGAATTCTGTATTACTGAGCCAGGGAATGAAAAATTCCTTTGCTGTTAATGGAATAATCTTTGGCTGTAATGCTGCTCACAGGAACCATCGAGTGTACTGAGGAAGTAAGGACCTGTTTTTGTTTAAACCGAGTTAACTAGAACTAGGCTGGTCAGCTAGCTAACAGGCTAAAATATAACCAACAGCCTAAACAACTCCGTCATTTATATCACAGGATTGAAATAAAGTACCTATGATATGATTCATTGTAAAAGGGCAATATAAAACTTGTCACTTGAATGGATTACACGCTTCAAATGTCCGTGTTTCAGTCAAAAGTAGCGTCAAACCCAGGCTGACTCCCAAATGCCTCCATACTCCCTAAATAGAGTGCTAGCTATGGAAGTTCCGAAATTCTAGCCTCTACAGCCAAATAGTGCATCATTTATTGAGTATGTGGCATAGTACAAAATGACTATTTCTTAGCTGTATTATGCACTGTTGGGCTGCAGCATCCAGTATTTAAAATCCTACAAAGTGCACTATGTAGGGAGCCATCTGAGATTCAGCCCCAGCGTGAGCATTGGTGCTAAATAAGACACGCAATGGTAATCTGGTGACCAAAAAGTACTTATTAAGCAAATAAGTTTTTGCATTTAACAGTGCTGTGTTATCATATGTTTTCTTATTCTTACACATTCTTATATGACAAAAATGTAAAAATTCATGAATTGACTGCAGTACACAGCGATGGGTGACCGAATGTTCTTCTCCTCTTTCTGTGGTCCATGATTGCTTGGCAACAACACCATAAGCTAAAGAAACTACATTTCTTGGTGGAATACTTGTTTGTGTTGGTTATTATTAATAATAACAAATTATTTTCAGAAAAAGTGTGTATTTCATCATAGTTTATGTTGGCCGCCATTTTAGAAAAGCCATAAGACACTTGAGACCATGCATTACTGCAATTTTATCACGGTGAAGGGTGTTCTTAGGCATGATGTGAAGCAGAGCAACGCATCACCTTTTGTGACTTATTGCTTTAGTGTGCCACTTACAATGACAATCTGGCAGCCTTGCTTCTCTGGCCTACATGCATTTGATGTAGCAACCAATCCAGTAGAGCAATTTGCCTTGACTTTAATAATCTCTGCTGGCTTTTCTCAATAGAAATAAAAAGACAGTATTGAACTCTATCTCTTGTTTAGCACTGACCCATAATAATTGTTAACTGATATGGGGTCAGGTCCTTCCATCTGTGTGACCCTCTTATTATAAAAGAACACATTTTGTGTGATGTTCAGGCGTGTACATAGAGCTATGACAGGTGATGCCTTTCTGTGTCAACAGAAACGTCATTTGACCACTTTATTTGGCGACCTACATAGATTCTTCATAACACATGCATAAGCACTGAACTACAGCAAGGCACAAGAATACTTGACTATTTATGAAAAGCTTATGCCAGTAATCACAAGATGACATGAAATGTTTAAGTGATGTGCATTTGTTCTATTTGTAACTCTGTTATGAAGCATCATTTTAAAGTAATGGAACAGAGGCCCAGTTAAGAACATGATACCAGTTCTATGGATAATTTCAATGCCCTCAAACGTAATAATGATGTGATCATTTTCATACATATTTACCCCCAATTAATTAATATCTACAGTGCCATGAAAAAGTATTTCCCCCTCCAGATTTCTTCTCTCTTTTGCATATTTTTCACTTTTAATTTATGTTTCAGGTTTTTAAACAAAATTTAACATGAGACAAAGACAACCTGATCATTTCATTTATTGAAGGAAAAAGAGTTTTATATATTTAAATATATGCTTCTTTAGTTATGTAATCAACTAAATTTAGTGGATAAATGGCATCAATTAAACTAGACACACCCAGGCTTGGTTACTGGCAGCCCTGTTGAATCTAAAGATCACTATAATAGAGTCTTTCCAGCAATGGTGCGTAGGCTACAAGGTCTCAACAAGCAGCGCACAATAACACAATCAAAAGAAATTCTGTAAGAGATTATAAAGTTATTGAAATATAGGCTCTGGGACTCCAAATGGAGAAAACCATTTAAAAAATGGTGAATCTTACCAGAAGTGGATAACCTACCAAAATTCCTCCAAGAGCACAGAGGCAACTCATCCAGGAAGTAACAAGAGAACCCAGATGAACATCTAAGGAACTGCAGGCCTTGCTTATCACAAACAAGATCAGTGTTCATGATTCCACATTTAGAAAGAGACTGGACAAAAACTGTATCAATAGGAAAGTTGCAAGGCAAAAACCACTGCTCATCTCACATGTGCCAAAACACCATGATGACCTCCAAGACTTTTGGAATAATGTTCAATTGACTGAAAAGCCAACAGTTACATCTGGTGTAAAGCTAACACAGCATTCTGCAATAAGAACATCATACCTACAGTGAAACATGGTGATGGTACCATGATGGTGTGGGCATGCTTTGCTGCTTCAGGGCTTTAATGAAATGATCACTTAAAAACTGTTTTGTGTTTCCTATGTTCTCCTTGTCATACATTACATTTTGTGTGAGGATCTGAAACCATTTAGTGTAAAAAATATGCAAGAGTAGGGGAAACCAAAATACTTTAAATATGCAAATTCCTTTTTACAGCACTGTATATTCCAGTAAAAAATATCCTGTACTTGATATTTCCATTACATGGAAATGGTGCTTCATGACAACATTTTAAATTATTATAAATGAAGTCATTACCGGCATAAGCTGTTCAGAAATACCCAAGAAGTACTTTATAAATATGTAATCCAATGCTTATGAATGTGTTATGAAGTCTCTATGTAGGTAGAGTTACAGAAAAGGGTATACACCAAATATGTCAGCAACAGGTATTTCAGTACTAGAACATGTTGTTGCTCCCTGTGTTTTTCCCCCACCTAAATTAACTGAAGAAAGGCTTCCTTAGAGATGCATGATCTGGGTCACTCTGCACATTTTACCATGCAGCACTGGAAGAAGTTTTTTAAGAGCATAATGGATAGTAAAAGGGCAGATCTTGATGAAGTAGAGCTTTTAAGATTTAAAACAGCACCTCTCACAGCCAAAGTGAAAGATAATGTTTTTTAGATATATTCTTTTACTTCTTTAAAAAACTCTTTTACTTGTGACACCCCCCCCCATGGTCAAGGAGGTATAATAAAAAAAATTTAAAACTCTTTTTTAATCTATACATTTGAATGAAATAATGCAAATGATATATTTTTTTAACACTGCTCATTGTTGTATTGCCAAAAACACTATGAGAGATTGTTTGGCATGGTAACATACTTTACATAAGAAGAAATTTTACACTTTTTTAATGTAAATTAATGTAAAGAGATTTTATTCCAAGCAATTTTGGAGCATTTCTGTTGGTCCATTCATAATAAAATGTTCACATAATGTAAAGGACAGCTGCTACGCTCACATGATATAAAAAAATCAAAATCGCAAAAAATTTGATACTTCTTTCTATTTATTATATTTTATATATATATTTTTGGACACCAGTGATATCTTTGTAAATGATAAACATATTCAAGCATGTTTTGTTTTGGTTCATATGAAGTAGAGATTTGGTGAAGCATGTATGTTCCCTTCACATATTGGTTTCAAGGGGATTCACCCTTTCAGACAAATTGAAAGTAATATGCTGAAGCAAGAATACAGATGTGGTGAGAGTATGTAGCATGTCCAGACCAAATTTAG